CTTCAACAGCCCTAGTAAAAGAAAAACAAATGAGCAACTAATTATCATGTAATTTAAAAGCCGTGTGTGTTGAATCCAGATCCTGTGGAACCTGGAGGAAGAAGTAGTATTTGAGTGAAAGTGTGTTTTACTGGAGTGAAGGAATATTTTTGAAGAGAGATTTAAAAGGCTCCTAAAGGCAATGTGGAGCTGTTGGGTGATGCAATCATTTCAGCACTGGCTACTAACCAAAACGTTGGCGGTTCAAATCCACACACAGGTGTCTCAGAAGAAAGGCCTGGTGATCTACTTCTGAAAGAGCAAAGTCATTGAAAACTTTGTGGAGCAGAGCTCTATTCTGAAACATGAATCAAAATCGACTCAATGGGAACCGACTTTTTTTTTTTTTTTTTTTAAAGATGAGTCTTGAAGTATAACCAAGACTTTATTAGGTAGGAAAAATGCAAAACGTATAACAAGGATAAGAACTATATAATGCAGAGCATATAGGAGAACAGTGAGGGCTTGCTCCAAAATGGCAGGAGTAAGGAGAGCATGATGAAGAATAACTGGAATAGCAAAGACAAATGGTAACCTTTCCCTGGGACAGAGGAGAAACACTGGTAGTGTGAGTAATGTACCCCAAGGTAAGTTTGTTTAAATACAAACACAGAAGGGTTTTCCTTTGTTATTTTTTGGGGGGGCAGGAAGGAAAAGGAAAAAGAAACTTTCGTTTGAAATGTTCCCTTCCTAGGAGGTATTTGTGTAGCAACCTAAAACCCTGAGTACTCTATGGGTAATTAGCTAAATGGGATGAAATACTTAACCTCAGACATTCTTACTCACAACAGAAGTTAAAATGAAAGCCAAATCTGAGGTTAAAAGGGAATGTTCCCCTGGGGCGTACTGGCAAGGATCTTGAAGAGTTTTGGTGGTTGTCATTGTTCCCTTTTTTTCCAATTTACCAGACACTTCGTAGGAAACATCCATGTTTCCATGTAATGTCAAAGAGATCAAATGTAAAACATGATGCAATTCTGTGCTTTTTCCTAAATAGTTACTTAAATTATTTTTCTTGGAGAGAAATGGACAACCTAGTAGCTTGGCTGACAGCACCAATTTGCCATCATGTAAGAGCATAATTTTAAGACTGCTTTAGGTTCCATGCCCATAGGCATAGAATAATTGAAAAAGAAAGATGTGGTCTTAGATTCTGAAAGCATATTTTTTTTGTTATGTAAGAATCTGGAGCAGCTTTGGTGCTTCTGGTTTGTGGCTTGATACAGAATCACTTTATTATCTCATATGTCTCATAATTATATCCCTTTGTTTCTCTGTTCACTATGGAGCACTGAATGTATCATTACTTTTTAGTGTTACTACCACTGTACTTAGGGTAAAAAAGAGAACACTAAATTATATAGAGAACATATAAAAGTAAGAGAAAAAAGTTATGTTTATTTTTCTTCCCAATCTTTTCTTCTTCTATATTGAATATTTTAAAACTTTTACTCATGGTTTCACATTTATTGCTTAACCTATCAGTGTGTTTCTTTTTCTTTTTAGGTTTTTGTCCTGTTTTTAACTACTATCACCAGTGCCTAGAACTGTACCTGGCACACTGTGCTCATTATATATGCTTGTTAAATAAATGAATGAGAACATTTACTTTGGTCAGATATTTAAGGAAAAAAAAAAAAAAAAAAAGCCAACAACCATAAAAATAGCAACAACTGCAAGTGGTTTGCCTTTATTCAGTAAAGATTCTAATTTCCATATTCCCATCCAACTAGCTGCCATCAAGTTGACTGCGTGTGTGTCAGGATAGAACTGTGTTGCACAGGGTATTCAATGGCTGATTTCTCAGAAGCAGATGGCCAGCCAGCCCTTTCTTCTGAGGCACCTTTAGGTAGATCTGAACCTGACCTTTTGGGTAGCAGCCAGTGCATTAAAAGTTTACACCACCAAGGGACTAGACACTAAATCCTTTTGAGAAGACACAGGCTTAACAAGTTTACACAAGCTCTTGCAAAGAAGTTCAATTATGTTCTATACTGTCTTTAGAGGTTTTCTACCTTAGGGACAGAATTGTCATTTCTAACTCAACAGGTGACAATCTGTCACCTGACGCCCTTTCATACATGGATTCTAGTGTTTGGAAAACACTCCTTCTGAGAACGTTTGTAATGGCTCCCCATCTTACCCCAATATTATGTGTTTGGATTTCTCTTTTACTCAGGCTTCAGGGTTCTGATGCATGTCAGCACCATAATGTTGACAGCTGACAATTCTGTTTTTGCGTTTTAATGTTTCCTTCCTTAGCTAAAGCTTTAGGATTATCTGCCAGACACCTTTATTTGATCTTTTTTTCCAACTCAGATTTAATACTATAATTTTACTCTCAACTGTCGTGGTCTTTTTTCTTTTGTTTCTTTACAACCAAATAAAGTAATTTTGTAATTTCTTGTTTCCTGTAATCTCCAAGCAGTAACCCTGAAATCTCTTGTGTGGTGATTAACTGCTATAGAATGAACCACTCTCTTCGATCCAATTTCTTCAAGAAAATTTTCCAAAGTGATCTTCTTATCACCATGATCACACTTCCTTTCCTCATAAAAATTACTCAACTCTTATTTTGGATAAACCAAAACCAAACCAAACTCACTGCTATTGAGTCGATTCCGACTCAAAGGTACCCTAATTGGGTTTCCAAGGTCATAAATTTTTATGGAAGTGGACTGCTTCATCTTTGTTCTGCAGAGTGGCTCATGGGTTTGAACCACTGACCTTTGGTTAGTAGCCAAATGCCTTAACCACTGGACTACCAGATAAAAGCCTTTCATAATCTAGCCAATTATTTATTTTTTCTTCTATTCATGTTCTTCTTTTGAATAAAACTAACTTCAACAGATTTATTCAAAGCCATGAAAAATACAAAATAAAAATAAAACCTGAATCCTCCCTTGCAGATATTTTTATTAGCTATCCCTCAAATTACCTTTTATTGTTTCTATGTACAAAGGTGAAAAACTGAGTAAATTTTTCTTCTTCCAATATTAAGATATTTCTCTCTTTAGCTTAGAAAATTACTATAGCAAAATTTGTTAAAGGGTAGAAATAAGACTGATCATTAATTCAAAAATGATAATCATTTTTTCCTTTACTATGACAAATTTTGCATAAAAGTTTCTGAGATGGCCTAAAACATGCCACTTTTATCACTATTCAAAGCCCTTAACTCTAGAGGCCTGTTGCTTTCCAGCCAACTTTAAATTTTTGTTTAGTTTTCAAGACTCAACATGTGACCTTACCAAACTATTAAACTTTATTTCCCCTTTCAATATGAAGCTTAGCTCCCATGGAATGCTTTCACTGGCTGGCAATGATGCTACCTGGACTCAATCAACATCTTCTAATTACTTGCAAGTTATAGAACAGTCTTTTTTTATAGGTACCTCCAGGGTTACCTGGTATTATGATATGCTGACTCATAGCGACCCCTCCTTGGGTTTCCAAGGCAGTATCACTATGGAAGTAGACTGCCCCAACCTTCCTTCTGAGGAGTGACTGGTGGGTTTGAACCGCCAGCTTTGATATGCCAATAGCCTGCCTAAAAAGATGCCTAATTGCCTGATAAGGCATTACTGTAAGTCCTTGCTCAGAAACAACAGTTCGGAGGGGGAAAAGAAAGGCAAAAGACAGTGTATTAACTCCTCATCATCCTCTCCCCCAAGTCTTTGGTAACCAACTAATAAAGCTCTACACACTTGCCTATTTTAGATATTTCCTATAGGTGTGATACTAAATTTGTCCTTTTGTGTCTGACTTATTTCATTCAGCACAGCATTTTCAAGGTTCATCCATGTTGTAGCATGTATCAGAACTTCATTCCCTTGTATTCTTTCCATGGCTATAAACTTCCCACTGAGCATGCCTTAAGTGTTGGTATGCCGTGCTTTCACTTTCATCCATCTCTAAGCATTTTCTAACTTCTCTTGTTATACCTTCTTTGGCCTACTGGTTAAGTTGAACATATCTGTGAAATTTCCAGAGAAAACTGTTTTTTTACTTAAAAAAGCAAATGATTTATTTAGTGAAAAGAGTAGGCAACAAAACTATATATAATATGACCTATTTTGCTAAGAAAAATAAAATGAAAAAAGTATATAAATGCTCAAAAATAATGTAAGTTGAGTTATACAAAAATTAACAATGATTATAGCTCAGAATTAAAGCTATTACACTTTTCTTCTTTGTGTGTTGTTATATTTTGAAGTTTTTAACAAAATATCTCTGGTGGCGTAGTGCCTAAGGCATTTGACTGCTAACCAGAAGGCTGGCAGTTCAAACCTACCAGCCACTCCTCAGAATGAAGATGGGCAATCACTTCTGTAGTGACACCACCTCAGAAACCCAAGGAAGGGTTGCTATGAGTCCGATCTGACTCGATGGCAGTGCGTTGCATTGTTTTTGTTTATCTTATGCTTTTTAGTGAGATTTTTAAAAAAGGTTATCAAATTTTATACTTACTTCTTTTTAAATTTTCAGTAGTTTGGAGATCCTTACAATATTTTCTACTTTTTTTTTTCCCCCATTTTTTTCAACACACACCTCCATTCCCATTTCTGCTTTGTTCATACCCACACATGCTATTAGGAAAATCTTTTCAAAATTTAATTCATTTATCCCAAATGCCAATATTTACTCTTTTCTGTCCACTGAAATATGATTTTGTCCTAAGCTCTGATTCAAAATAGGTGTGTTTTAAAAGAAAGCAGCTCTTACAGGGTTGGCAGACAATGGGCCTCTCGAAGAGTATGAAGGGATGGACACTGGGAGGAGGTAACTATGGGGAGGAAGTGGGAGGGGAGCTGCT